AGTGACAACTATTCTTGTCCTGTTACAATCTGGTCGTCATCAACCCCTTCCCATGTATTCTAGTGACTACTCTTATTGCCTTGTTACAATCTGGTCGTCATCAACCCCTTCCCATGTATTCTAGTGACAACTATTCTTGTCCTGTTACAATCTGGTCGTCATCAACCCCTTCCCATGTATTCTAGTGACTACTCTTATTGCCTTGTTACAATCTGGTCGTCATCAACCCCTTCCCATGTATTCTAGTGACAACTATTCTTGTCCTGTTACAATCTGGTCGTCACCAACCCCTTCCCATGTATTCTAGTGACTACTCTTGTCTTGTTACAATCTAGTCGTCATCAACACCTTCCCATGTATTCTAGTGACAACTCGTCTTGTCTTGTTACAATCTAGTCGTCATCAACCCCTTCCCATGTATTCTAGTGACAACTATTCCTATCTTGTTACATTCTAGTCGTCATCAACACCTTCCCATTTATTCTAGTGACAACTTCTCTTGTCTTGTTACAATCTAGTCGTCATCAACCCCTTCCCATGTATTCTAGTGACTACTATTCTTGTCTTGTTACAATCTGGTCGTCATCAACCCCTTCCCATGTATTCTAGTGACTACTATTCTTGTCTTGTTACAATTTGGTCGTCATCAACCCCTTCCCATGTATTCTAGTGACAACTTTTCTTGTCTTGTTACAATCTAGTCGTCATCATCACCTTTCCATGTTCACATATAACTACCAGGAAAGGTCACTATTGCCTTTCAAGCTTGGTGCATATGTTCCTTTTGTGATCCCAATACTTTAAGGTCAAGGTAAAAGTATATATGTGTATAAGGCCAAAACTGTGGTTATGAGTGTTGATATGCATATTGAAGAAATCTAGCGCAGGTTGACATCTATTCCGAGTTGCAAGTGTTATCTAGTTCGTTAATGAGATTAATTGAAATGCCTGGTACACGATATATAAATCCGGATAAGTTGATTGTATTTGTTTTTCTCTGTGTATGTGTATTTGCTTTGTCATGTCACTTTTCGTGTTTTTGTATTTGTTGTTTTTGTTTTTGCATTGTATCCATTATCATCCATTTCATTGGATGTTAAATAAGTACATTGTAAAATAAATAAATAAAATTAACGTAGAATGACAATAACACGTTGGGTTTAAGAACACATAATATGGTAAATAACGCGCTTTCAAAAAATAATATATTGGACATAACATAATTAATTCAAAACATGCTCAATATACCCTAAACCCATACGATCGCAGAAACCCTAAACTGACTAAACCCATTTAATGAGCAGTAATCCTGAACCCACATAATGCACACGTATTGTATATTTCTCAAGTTAGCCTTGGAGATTAGGGATAAAGACATACTCTGGACAAAGACTACTTTACAATAGAACGAATAGACATTACACTGGATTTGTATTGACGTATATAAATATCGTGGCGCCGGTTTTTAAAAAGTTTCAATATTTCTTCATCTGAACCCCGTTTCTTCCGGGTTCTGTCTCAGTTAAATTTAGAATTAGTCTTTCTATGAACAAAGTACCAAAACATGTGAGTTGGAAAGAGTGTATTAAATAAATTTGGAAATTTAGCAGATCTCCCAACTGAGAGCGAGTGTACTTGTGTCGCTCGTCTAGAAAACTATAAACGTGAGATAAACTGACAAGTAAATACAATTCGGAATTTAATTTCACTGTCGACGTCGTGGTAGTCGATTTGAATTATTTTCCAATGTTTTCGACCATATCCATGGGTGGGTTAAATTACCAACATTTAGACTTATCCGTCACCATCAATAGTTGAGCGACAACATAACAACATCCGACTTGCTTGACAGATTTTGTGACCAACTCTCACAATCCTATGAGAGAGAAAGAGAGCAGTGTGTTAAACCTTGGTCAACTTTACATTATGCACATCATTAGCGAGTGCCTTACAATGTTATATTTAATTTAACAGCTGATTATTATTAATGAAGGCTCGAGCGGCTTTTTATGGAAATTTATGAAATATTTATAATACATTTAACCATGGTGATCCTTATCAGTGGCCGGATGTATCGCCATGCATGAATAAATGCGTTTTTTAGTTGTTTGAAAGGTTTTGCGTTAATAATGCAAAAACTGGTCTCAATATTAGTTCATTTTTTTGTTCCTGAACTTTGTAGCGCAGTTGTGCCAGGGTATTTGTAAGATGCAAACATTCAGTTATGTACTAAAAAAAAAATCAATTGTCAAAAAAAAAAAAAAAACGTTTATTCCGTTCACACATATTTGCTCTAAGACTGTAAAAAAAGCCGTAGATCACACAAGTATCATAAGTGGCTACCGGTAAAACTATAAGTCCGTCAAACAAATACATAAATTATTAATGCTTGGCTGGTTATTTTCGCCATAAACATGCATGATTTAAATTGCCATGAGCTGTGATCTGTTCAATTAAGTTTGACTGTTGAGGGGCATACGATGGTCTACCTCCCCCAAGACAAAATGATATAGGTCGTGACCCATCGTACTTGTGAACTGTACCACAGAGGGACTGACTACTAAGTATACTAATCGAAGTCCAGATGCATTGTGGGTATAAATATTAAAAAAACAAGATGGCGGCCCTGGCGGCGACTCCTACATCTCTGGTAAGTACACTTCTGTATAATGTATGTCATTGCGTGATGATGTTTATATTAGTATTTTTCTTTGAGTCTCAATATACGTATAGTGTGAATTATATGACGAATTCAATATTCGAATCGATTTTAATAATACTAATATCTTAATATTGTCTTAATTTTGATCGCTCCATCCCCGCCCCGGCTCGATCCTCTCTTCCGGCGTCGTCTAATCTTCCGAGTAATCTGATGTCCAACAGAACTATCTACCATATTCTGGTGAACGTCTATGGATTTGCTGTTTATGGCAAACATTTCTGTAATGTCGCATCCGACGAAGGTGCAGTTACCGACAATGATGTCATGCGAAGATATAGTGTGTCACCCAGGGCGCACCTATTGTGAAATGGGGGGGGGACAATGTTTATTATGTGAAAAATGTTTTAGCCACATATACCTAATAAAAAAATTTTAATTTTTAGACTACAATTCTATCACGTTATATTGTTAATGTTATGTCATTTCTCTCGCTCTCTTAACCCATGGCAATTGTTTTCCCCTTAAAATCTCTCCTAGTGGCAGTATGATGGGAAAATAGAGTTTGTTTTTGCTTTCCGTCATCACGCGTGTTAGTTTGAAACATGCATGTTTTTGGCCATTTTGCATACAGAATTTTTTTTACACATGGTAGAATGCAGATGTTTTTTTGTTTCTGAGGATGTTTTGCTGCTCTAAATCAAACTTATATCTCATTATTGTGATATTATATAATCTTAATACAAAAAAAAAACGGCATCATTTTTCAGTTTTGCTGTGACACAACGAGTTGTGCTAACTCACTGTCACATCATTGACACAACAGAAAATCGTACATTGATATACTAGTACTGATCTTGAAAAAAATCTTACTAAAATTATGGAATTTGTAATTTGGTAAAATAAAATTCACATTTTGTAATCACAATAAGTATAAAAATGAAGGGAATCACGGGCCAAGACATTTTTGTTTGTGCCTCAAGTCACCCATACGGTCACATACAAGACCAACCTGTTGGTCAACAGTCAACAAGCAGACTCAACTTAATTTTGAGTTCTTGCTAGAGGACACCCTGGTGATTATGTATCTTTATGTGATGACTATTTTCTCACAATAATTCTTGGTTTGTGATTTGTGAAAATGTCACCTGGTCATAAAAAACGGAGTCGTAGCATAGTATTGATAAATATTAGACAAATTATAGTTTGAGTATAAGCTTGCAAAACAGATCATCTTCATTTAATCAAAACTATACATTTCGTGCATGGAGAGAACTTGTTCAGTTCTAAACAAAATGAATTATTAAACAAAAAACATTATTTTTGGTGTCAATTTTTGCTGTGTTTCACACAAATTTTTCTTTGTTTTTTTTACACCTTTGACTTACCGATATAACAAATCAGAAATTATGTTCATTGAGTCTGGAATAAACAAAAATATTTGAAAAAATTACATAATAATCACAGGGAACCCAAGATCTATGATCCACTGTATGCAGTCTCTATGAGGGATGGTATCGGCTGGTATCTAGTGTAAGAAATAGACAAGGGATGAAGGCTCCAGTGAGCTCATATTTTTTAAACTGGAAAAAACCGACGAACAGAATGAAAAATAAAATCTATAAAAAAAAATAAAAAAAAAAAGGTTGAAGAATATTAGTTGCTCTTTCAAATTTGGCCAAAACCTTACCTATATTTTACTGATATCTGCAGAATAAATCAAGAAAACTACACAAATTGACTTCATTTATGAATAATTAACGGTTGGCCCCGAAAGCACAGTTGGAGGCATGGTCTATTCAGAATGTGTCAACAACCAATCATAAAACTGGTCAAGGTGTAAAGTCAAATTGATTTTCTGAAATTGCTCAACATTTATTTGTTGTTGAATTTTGTTTAGTTATAACAGGACATTGACCTTTCATTTTGTGCTTATACTGATTATATTTATATGAATTTTTTTTTCAGATTGTTGGTAATTATTTTGATGTTTATGAATCTCTGTATAAACAAGTAAGTTATGAATTACAGTGATAACTATAGTGAAGGGTTGAATGTTTACACAACAGGTGTTGGCTTACATAGTTGGATTTTGTTCAAAATTCACACATACACTGATCAAACAACAATATTTACTCAAATTACTTTATGTTTTAATGTCTAACCAAAATACTTGTACATTTACCATAGTTAATTAATTGTTAATCTGAAAAGCAAATTTAATTTGATTAGCAGCTGTATTGCCTATGTTATAAGTCCTAATGCATGACCTCTTAAAAGGTCACACATCCTAGTTCTTCAGGGGGTAGAACTTCAATGAGAATTTCTTAATTATTAACCCTCAAAAGTGCATGCAGTTTACATTGAAGTTTAACATATGAAATTGACAATTATTGCTCTTATACCCCCAACAATACCCCCAGAAAAATACCAGCATGTTTGATATTTAAAAGTCATGCATAAGGCCCATTGGAAGCAGTGAAGTAATATCTGTCATTTACAAAATAATTCAGTTCTCAATATCAAGTACAAAAGCTTCTTGTAAATTGCTGAAATTAATCATTGCTGTAGAATCTTTTGTTGCTGTGTTATCAGCATCTTAAGGAGGTCATCAAGTCACCAGATTTTTTGTAGGTAATCTGAAGATAACCTTATCACGAAATCAAAATTCAACATAAGACAATTCCCCTAAAGATTGGTCAGTGATGTGGTCTGTGATGTACATCATTGACTCGTTTACTCCTAGATTACCTCCTTCAATATTTATAGAATGACACTTTATCTCTATATATTGCTGTGTGCGTTTGAACAGTATGTACATGTACTTTCCAGATTAGCTGTGTTTAGAGTGCACCCTAGACAGCAGTGCAAGATCAGATTTTAGTTTGTACAAATAAATACTAACATGGTCACAGGTTTCATTACACTTAACTCAACAACATCATAACTACTAATGAACTAATTTACTTAAGAGTGCAATACATTTACTGCTAGTTCTGTCTTTATTTATACTCTCATTTTTAAAATTAAACTCTCACAGGTTGATATTATGGGAACTGGTAGAATAGGTGCTATTGACGCTGCTGCATATTTAAAGAAGTCAGGTTTAAAAGAGACAGTATTACATAAAATATGGGAATTATCTGATCCTGCTGGTAAAGGATTCTTAGACAAGCAGGTATGTTTACTATCGACCTCGGACCACAAAAGCTGTATCCAGTCCATAATGGTTTTATCATATACTCAAGGATTTGTTTAAACAAGGGAACAGGGGCTCATCGCCCTCGTGCCATGGCCATGTGCCCCCTTACCCTTGGGAGCAGATCCTCTGGCAACCATAAAATTCTGATTGACCAGGGATCACATGTGACCACAGTCTTCAACTGTGACCTGTCTGATAGTAATTTTGGCACTATCTCTCCCACTTGGTGGCGCCGCTGAATTGCAGTGCTCCCTCTAGCAGTTTTTTTCTAGAAAAAACTCTAATATACCTCATAGGTGTAATTACAATTTTACCATGATATGACCTTAAACATGTGACTTAATTTAGAATGACACATTTTGTTTTGATTGATGAAAATTGGACGTGATACAGAGAATTATTGCCAGGTGTGGGGGCGCACTTCCCATAATGTTACAAGACCGGTCAATACTTAATAGGTATATGATAACACGGAATCTATGGATAACTGATAACTTTGCTTTTCTTACAAATCCATGAGTACCATATTGGATGAATGTCAATTCACACTCACACACTGTCAAGCATAAATTCAACTCTGTATTTATTATATGCACAATATAAATCAAGTACATTTGTATTAGAGGATTTTATGATGACATGGGTTACGTTATCACACAATAATGTAAATCTCTATTCACAAATTAATTCATAGAAACAAAAAGTCTCCAAATTTAACTAAATTTGTTTAGTTCTGATGGTGGTGATTTATAACAATATTACTGACCCCCCCCCCCCCCCACACACACACACAATTGGAGAACAGTATAGATGTCATAAGGAGTTCAGCTTCACCTCGTACATTATCTTGCCATAGATCATATCTCCTCATCAAATAGGATTCTGTAGGGGATTCATTAATATTTAAATAGAGAATTTATTATTGTTGTTATGATATACCATTAATATGTGATAGATGCTTAGTCTGGGCTTATCCTGTCTATTTTGTTTTCCATTCAAAAACCAAACACTGTGTAGTGTAGCTGTCGCCCTGGAACATGGTAGTATTTATCACTCTATACTGAGACACATTGATTATACTCGATCAATAGGTTATTTTCTGTTCAACTGCGAGATCTAGCGAGTTGCGTGGAAGACGCACACTGAATGTGGGATGCAAAAATCAAATGATTTGATTTTGCACTTGAATTTCTTTATTTCATAGCTCACATCGAAAGGCCGATCTTTGACAAGGGAATATTACGTTTGAATACCCTTACTTCATCGAAATTGACCATCATCAAATGTGTACAGCACATTATTAAGCATGGAAATATCCCCCAAAAACTTTCGCGTTTGTCGAATCCCACGCGATGTTTGTCACCACTACAACGCATGTCCTTTGTATGTCCTGTTATTACGTTCGATTTCACGCATAACGCAAGATCTCGCAGCGAACAGAAAATGGTCTATCGTAAACAAATGTTGAGGTTGATACATTCTTCATGCGAAGTGTGTTATTTTAGTTTGTTAATATTTTTATGTTTTAGTTTTTGTCTCACAGTCCCTGCAGCAATGGGAATTTTGTATGGTTTTTTATTTACAAATTTCCAATGTAAATGTTATGCAGATGTAGGGCCTGTGGTATACAGTAATACAAAGTACAGCACTAATGTAATGTCCAAATATGGGCAATGATGTGACATACCTTGGTTACCAATAATATTACTAACTGAATCATTTGGGCATGTTGTATCTTCCAGGGCTTTTTTGTTGCTCTAAAATTAATTGCTTTATCTCAGAATGGTGAAGAAGCTAGTATATCAAATATTAATCTTTCTGTTCCACCCCCAAATATGGTAAGTGTATTTTATAAATTGAAATATAACAATGAGCGACTTTGTTTGCTGATGCTTTGATCGGTCCTGATTGATGCTGGGATATGTGCATTAAATTACTATGATGCTGATATGATAAGAAGACAACATGCATTTTATTTTACCATTACCATTAGCAGATTGTATGTAGATGTATGGGAACTGTTGCTTGCCGCGCAAATATTTATCAATAAGATACCTACTGTTATATGTGAAATGTAATGAACACCTTGCTTTTCTTTGTTTTGTTTTTCGTTCTTTTCACTGTTTTACCTAATTTACGCCTTATGCATTTATTGTATTTTGAAACATAGTTTATTCTCACATGATAGTGTTAGTTACATGTACTGTAAAATGGTTAATTATTCACTGGGTTATAATTTTGCTTATTTCGCTGACTGGAAAATGCGCTAAATTAAAACCCAGTGAATATGTAAAATTTAGCATAGAACTCATTATCTAAATGATAAAACCGTGAATTTAAAACCCACTGAATATACCTGAAGTGGTAAATCAGCGAAATTTAAACCCAGTGAAAATTAGTCATTTTACAGTACCTTAGAAAACTCAGCAATTTGGCTGACCAGCAAGAATCAAATATTTCCATTTCCACCTCCAGAGGGCTCCCTCTACCAAAAACATGTGGCCTTAGATGGAATAAATTTGTTTTTTTGCACTTGGGTGACCAGCAATAGAGGAAAAGTTGCTGAGGCCTTGAATGCCAATATTGCTGTTTTGGGGTCTTAACAAGCCAGCTCTTACTATGACAGAGAAGGTTGTCTAATCCCACTGAGTGTTTACAAAAACGTAGATCACATCATATTGATCCTTCTGGGCTGTGTTTCTAGAGAACTAGCATATGTAGACATTTTAATTAAATTGTAATAAATGTATGAGACCAGTGAAGTCACAAATAATATAAAAGAGATATCCTGAAATCCACCACTAGAGGGCAGTCAATTAGTTCAAATTTTTTAAGAGAGAAAGTTGTAGATATTTTTATGGTACAACGATTTAATTGGGCCTACCTATACCGGAATTAGCCTACCTACACTGGAATTAGCCTACCTACACTGGAATTAGCCTACCTATACCGGAATTAGCCTACCTACACTGTAATTAGCCTACCTATACCGGAATTAGCCTACCTACACTGTAATTAGCCTACCTATACTGGAATTAGCCTACCTATACTGGAATTAGCATGCCTATATTGAAATTAGCCTACCTACACTGGAATTAGCCTACCTATACCAGAATTAGCCTACCTATACTGGAATTAGCCTACCTACACTGGAATTAGCCTACCTACACTGTAAGCCTACCTATACCGGAATTAGCCTACCTATACTGGAATTAGCCTACCTATATTGAAATTAGCCTACCTACACTGTAATTAGCCTACCTATACCGGAATTAGCCTACCTACACTGTAATTAGCCTACCTATACTGGAATTAGCCTACCTATACTGGAATTAGCATGCCTATATTGAAATTAGCCTACCTACACTGGAATTAGCCTACCTATACCAGAATTAGCCTACCTATACTGGAATTAGCCTGCCTACACTGGAATTAGCCTACCTACACTGTAAGCCTACCTATACCGGAATTAGCCTACCTATACTGGAATTAGCCTACCTATATTGAAATTAGCTTACCTACACTGGAATTAGCCTACCTATACTGTAATTAGCCTACCTACACTGTAATTAGCCTACCTATACTGGAATTAGCCTACCTATACCAGAATTAGCCTACCTATACTGGAATTAGCCTACCTATACCAGAATTAGCCTGTCTACACTGGAATTAGCCTACCTTCACTGAAATTAGCCTACCTACACTGGAATTAGCCTATCACACTGGAATTAGCCTACCTATACTGGTAATAGCCTAACTACACTGGAATTAGCCTACCTATATTGTAATTAGCCTACCTACTCTACTACTTACACATGGATTAGCTATCTATATTATAATTAGCCTACCTATATTGGAATTAGCCTATCTATATCTATATCTGAATTAGCTTACTTATGCTGGAATTAGCCTGTCTATCTATCTCAACTATTTCATAACCAGGGTTCAATACGTGGACCCAAATTACTATCAGGTGTCTCACTTTCTAGACATATATTTACATTCACATACAGATACACTCAAACTGCTGTCAACTGCCCTTCAATTTATGTTGACTGCTTCTTGAACAGAATTGTTTTTGTTTACATATATGTAACATAATTTCTTGTTGTTTTTTTTCAGTATGGAGGGACCGGTGTATCAGATCCTTCACATTGGTCTGTGACAGTAAGTCAAATCTCAATTATATATTGGCATCTGTCTGTATGTCAGTATGCATTGGTTGATTTGATTATTTTCAGCCATTTCAGTCTTTAAAAACTTGAATCATAACACATAACGTGAACTGTTTTTCAGTCATGCCTGCATTGAAGTCAACTTACAACATTACATATGTGTTATTGATACTCATTGTTTTTTTTCACAGTTAAATTCAAAATGGCTGATTGGTGGCCATTGTTTTGTTTTTTTTCTAAGCTTTCTACCTCTTTTTCTGGTGTTCTTTGACTGTTTTGACAATTATTAACTTAAAAATGACTTCTTTCATTATTTTTCATCACAGCCACAAGATAAAATTAAATTTGATGGTATATTTGATGGATTATTACCAATAAATGGTCTGCTATCTGGTGACAAATGTAAACCTGTCTTTATGAATTCCAATTTGCCTGTTGATATACTTAGCAAGGTGAGTACTGTGACATTTGAGTTAGCATTGTGACAGTGAAGTTAGTACTCTGACAGTAGAACAGTAGCGTTAGTATGTGACAGTATAGTTAGCACTGTGACAGTAGAGTTAGTATGTGACAGTATATTTAGCACTGTGACATTGGAGTTAGTACTGTGAAAGTGGATTTAGTACTGTGAAAGTGGAGTTAGTACTGTGACAGTAGAACAGTAGAGTTAGTATGTGACAGTATAGTTAGCACTGTGACATTGGAGTTAGTACTGTGAAAGTGCATCTAGCACTGTGAAAGTGCATCTAGCACTGTGAAAGTGGAGTTAGTACTGTGAAAGTGGAGTTAGTACTGTGAAAGTGGAGTTAGTACTGTGAAAGTGGAGTTAGTACTGTGACAGTAGAGTTAGTACTGTGACAGTTTAGTTAGCACTGTGACAGTGGAGTTAGCACTGTGACATTGGAGTTAGTACTGTGAAAGTGGATTTAGCACTGTGAAAGTGGAGTTAGTACTGTGAAAGTGGAGTTAGT